AGCCAGCAAAGGGCAGCTCATGTAGAGTAACAAAGTCCAGAGGAGCTTGGACTCTGCCCTGTAGCTGGTGGAGAGGCCTTAGTTTCCAAACGTTCCCAGTAAGATTTGCAAGCTTGAGAAGCTCCTCTGGCAACAGGTATGGAAGGCAGCAGGAACCTGCAGCAGGGGAAGCAGTAGAAAAACAAGCAGGTATGTGATGTGCCACCATGGTTCAGGCATGAAGAAGAGGCTTAGGGCCAGGAGAGGGGGCTCAGCGGTTCAGAGCACTGGCTGCTCTGGCAGAGGCCCTGGGTATGATTCCCACTACCCACAAGGCAGCTTAAACTCCAGTTCTAGGGGACCTGACGCCCTCTTCTGGCTTCCTTGGGTACCAGCATTTGCATAGTACACATGTACAGATGCAGGCAAAACATTCATTCACATAAAATAAATTGATTTTTTAAAATGAGGCTTGGACCAGGGACATGGCCATGGGACTGGGGAAGAAAGAGAGAGAGAGAGAGAGAGTAAGGAAATCATTCAGATGAGATCAAAGGTACTTTGGGGCCATGAGTTTGGGTTGTGTTGACAACTTTATCCCAACTGATTAGAACAGTGCCCGTACTTAGACATGAAATAAATATTTGCTGAGTAGATGAAGAGAGTGTGGTATTATTACCTGTGGTCAGAGTCTGGGCTGCCTGTTTCCAGGTTCTTGGCCTCTTATCCAAAGAATTGAAATGAAAGGCTCACACAGATTTGCAAAAGAAGCAAGCTAACTTCAGCAAAGCAAAGGTGTAGTGGAAGTTACAGAGGAAGACACTGCCAAGACTGACAGGGCTGCCTAGTGAGGATGCTCAAGGGTCCTGGGCTACAGCCTAGTGTACGAAGGAATTTGCTACCAAGGGGTGTAGTTTGGTGGTCCTCTATTTTGATTGGTGGGTTGTCATACATTCATTTTTTTTTACTGTGTGTACCTCTCCCCATAATGCCTCTGATTTTAATCATATGCATTCCCAATTATTCATAGGCATAAGATGGTAAATAGAGAATTTTCTCTAAAAGCTTACTAAAGGACACAATTTTGCCTTACTGTTGATGCACCCAAAGTAAGTTAGGCTGGGTCAGGCCTTCTATTCGTCATACGCAGATCCATTGGGAAGAGGATGGAATAAAAAACTGTCTAAATTTGATTGCTACCAGAGGTGGAGAAACTAACACTGTTGTTCAGAGGTGGGAGTATGTGTAGTCCATACAGGTAGGAGGTT